TACTGATGATATCATGTGTTCCCACTAACTAAAAACTTTGATCCAGAGACTTCTTGGTTTGTTTTCATGTTTCGAAATCTCAAAAGTGTTTTTTCCACTTTTGAAATATTATTCATTTAGTGGTTATTTTAGAACTTTAGAACGGTCCCATTAAAAATAGAAAAAAAACATTATTGTGTTGTACAGAGGATATGTGAAAAAAAAAATGAAATATGATTTTGACACCACCCGTTTTTCCCTGTAGTCTTCTATTGTTTTCTGTATTAAGAATTGGCTATAAAGCGATCATCAAATAGAAAAAAAATGTTTTGAAAAGTTAGAGAGGGAAACAAAATATAAGAACCAATAACGACGCTCTCCGATCTCTTTGGAATTATTTAGAGCTCAAGAAAGGTTGAGAAAATAACGAAACCTATTCGCTCTCTTTTTCCCCATCAAGGCTACGACTTTAATAACGAGACACAATAAATCAATACTTGATTGGAAAAAGAGGAAAATATTACGAACAACTGATGAACTTTTTATTGCTTTCTGACGGGAGCATGAATAGTCCTTGTATTTCTCTGACACTCTTGCTCCCAACTGTCTTAACTCGCTTTGAAATGGCCGCTTTTTCTCATTTCCTTTCCCAACCGGGTGAGAGGCCACGGCGCCAAAGAACGCATGCGCGTCTGCGAACCGAGTGGAGATCGTTTCCGGTGAGGCATTGTGAATGAAGGGAAACAACTCCATCAGTGGCATTTTAAGAAATGACCCGCCGTAGATGTGTGCTGCTGCGCCGTGAGTTGGAATGGATACACTCTCGGGAAATTCTTACAGAAAAATTTAATATACACGCCATAATAATCATACGTATAAAGATATCAGCTTACCATAAAATATTGGTGGTTGGCGGGTGCTTTGGTGTGGTTTGCTCCTTCTTTCCTATCAAACATCTACCTTCCTTATCCCCCCCCCCCACCTCTTTCTTTTTTAGGTTTTTCACTCTTTTGTAGCACCAATTGTTCTGCACTTATATGGCTTATTGCGTTTGATGTGACGTAAAACACTTTCTAAAACTAAAACTTTACTTTTGAAAAGTGGCGAATAACGGAGTTTTACAGTGAGCAGTCTAAATACACAAATATGTTTCGTAACTTTTGTTTGAAATAAAATTTGAATATGACCCCACAACACCAGTCAAGTTGAGCGGTATTCTCGAGAAGAACTTGAGCGAAACTGAAGTATGGATTGATGGAAGGAGGGAGGGGGGAGAGAGAGAAAG